GTGTTGTTAAATGGGCGGTTAGTGATTCATGTTGCGAGCTTAGAAAATTAGTAGAAACCATGACCTAGAAATATTCTGAGAAAATCCAATGAGCTATTTATTTATGGTCTGCAATCAAGCAGGTTGACGCCAATAAACTTTCAATACATTCATATTCATGAAGTGCCTAACATCGGTACTTATAAATGAACTTTTATACAATAGTATTCACATGATGAGATGAGACAGACGACTGCTGTCATCAATGCTATATAGCTGCCTTAAATATTCGCATCATCGTCCACACTTAAGATGTTCTGCATTTTGAAAATAGAGTCCACCTTAGCTTCAATTATTAGCGTATCACCAAGAAGAAAACCATTAACTGAGTTCTGAAGACGACTCAACGGTATGAACTGAGACCAGCCCCTTCCATTTCTGAAGCTAGAGCCACTAGCAGTGCCTGAGAGTGATAAATATATAAGAAGTTATTGTCTTCCCAACAAAACTTCAACCATTAAATTGAGAAGAAAGTCAATTTACCGTCTCACCTGCACGGGACAGATCTTTGGAATCGCACTGGTCCTTTATTAGCAGCGAATACCTAGCGCAGACTAGTTTGGTCTCAGTAGTGCCATCCTTTAACTTCAAAAACATCGATAGATATCCTCCACAAGTTGCTATTGGAAATCCTTTTGGATATAGCCGCACAACCCTAAATAAACAATACAAATAAAATAAAATAAAGAAGAGACAGAGATCGAGAAGTTCAGTAATATTATTGACACTAAAGCCATACTATGTTGAAGGTAGCATTCTACTAATTATGTCTGTACCATTCAAGTCCTCCGAAAATAAAAGTTTCAGATTCAATTATTTCCTCATTATGCTCAGAGAAGTGTCGAATTTTCCAGGAGAATGCTTTGTCTCCAGAGTCAGACATTGACAAACATTCTAAATTTTCAATATAGTCTTGAACTAACACTTGTACTCCAAGAAAACATGTGTCTCCAACAAGAAATCCTTTAGAAGGGTCCTTAAAATCTCCAAGAGAGAGTAATCTTGGAAATCCTAATTCAGTTTTCACGGCATGAAAACATCTAACTTTTGCATTGGAACCTTCACGTCATAAAACAAAACTGTTAGAAACATTAATCAAAAGGTAACTAACATTATATCAAGTTTATATTATGTGATAGAATCAACTTATATTTGATTATCAAGACAAAGAAAAATCCAAACCTTCAAAGGTACGAAAACTGTCTTGATTATAATCATACACAAAAATTTTGAATTTAGCATGTACAGTCCATTTATGAGGTAGAGTTTGCGTTTCAACAATCATTAGGTAGAGAGATATGTGTCCATCCCCGTTTCTTTCTTTGTCACCGACTGGGTAAAGAACCAGCTTCCTTTTTAAAAATTAGGTGAACACCATTATACATCAACAAATAAGAATAAATAACTTGATACAATGACTAAGTGCTACCTTGCAATTAAAAATAATATTCTAATTAAGTAAAAAAAAACTGACCATTTATACCCCCCTGCTTCAAAAGCTGTAGATTCACATCTTTTCTCTGTAGTTTCTGAAAGTAGTTCAGACAGTTGGGAGAACGATTTTACCTTTAACAAGTAGTTCATCGGTGCTTGGTCTATCACCGACATGTAAAAATATTCCAGTAATGTCTTAATTTCTCAAACTAAGTTCAAAATGAAAAAATAATTCATAAAAGAGGGAAAATTCAAATATGTGGAGAGAACCTTCATTCCCAACTTCCATTGGTAACTGTCCGTGTCTATAGCCAGAAGAAGATTTCTGCAACAGGTTAAGTACAAATTTAGTTCCTCTACTTTTAAAAAGTGAAGAAGAAAGAGCACTTTTGTCCCTCTACAGTAAATAGATTATTTGTGTTACTTTACTCTAATTTGGTTTCCTTTTCTAACACAGTCAATGATATGCATAACTTGCTTTTAAAAATTAAATGGTTAGGAACATTTTTTATCTCTGTACTTTCAAAACATGGTACATTTCATCTACTATTTTAAAAAAATTAGACGATTTATCTTTCTACCGAAATCGTTAATGGTACCAGGAAGGGCATACTTTTAATAAGACATTACTGCCCAATTTTTTTTTGAAGTAGTGAAACAAAAATGTACTTGACCCTTCTGCAATAATTGCTTTTAAGAAACTTAAGGGAGAGATGTATGTTTGTGCAATGGGGAAACCATAAGATGGACATTCAAAAGCCAAATTGTTACCCTAGGAGAAAGTTAGAGATGCATCACTTGTATTACTATACCCAGAAAAGGAAAAAGAAATCAGAACAGACACCTACCTTAAAACTGTGCAACTCGAAGCATTACAACAACAAAATCCAAAACCAGAAGCAAAAAATAAAGAAAGAAAGAAAGAAAACAAAAAAGGATCACCAATTTAAGAGGAAAGAAAACCCAAAAAGAATTATAAAAGCTTCAAAAGCCATAGGATCGCAATCTCGGTTGAAATAGGAAAAGCAAGATTATTAATTTTTCCTTTTTTAACTTTTTTTTTGGGGAGGGTTCATACTCGAAGAAAAGAAGAGAAGCATATTGAAGTGACTATTTGTTTATCCAAAGCAGCTACTAAATACACCTTCCGTGATTTTGTTAACAAAATTATCCATTGAAAAAATGAAATCATCCAAAAACTCAAAGCAGCGCTTACCTGAATGGGCATAGCTTGTTGATTCAACCCCAAACTGATTATCAAAAAGAAGCATAATTCTTCCCCTTTTGTAACAAGTAAAAATGGAATCATCATTTGAAGGTTCCTTCGAATTTACCGGCTGCATCAATTCCCTGAGGAGATAGGGGCAGAAGCTTGGGTGCCATGGGAAAAGCAACCACAAGCACAAATTCCTTACCTCTGCATTGAAGAGGAAAAAGCTATGCCTGGGAACTTAGAAAAATAAATAAATAAATAAGAAAAAAGATTCGTGGCCCTTGTTGTATGTTTCTTACTATTGCTTGAGCATGAGATTGATGTGAGAAGGCCATGGTTAATATTGATTTTGAAGGCAAGCATAAATTGTAATTCACTGAGGTTCTATTGAGTGCAGTTTTTGATATTCCTTTGAAACTGTATGTGAGAGTACCGTTTACAAGACTTGATCAAAATCATGATTTTGTGCAAAGCAAGGAAGTACAACATAAAGAGGAATTTCATAAAAAAAACACAACGTAATTGACCAAGAGATCAATGAATTACCTGATCAAACAGCTCAAAAGTTGATGAGAGCTTCGATTTGATTATTGCACGAATATATAAGGTAATCCTTCAAATCCTTTAATGAACAGGGCATTCAAATCATAGTTTCCAGCTAACCACTCAGACATTAAACAACTACCAAAGAAAAGCTAAAACATTAGACCAACTAGGATCTTGAACACCAAATTATGAAAATTAATTAACAATCAATTTGAAGCTAACAACAAACACAATATGGTCTAGAAAAGGTAATAACAGAACTCCAACAAACATGGTAACACAAAAGTTCCAAGTGAATTTCAAAAAACTGGCAGTAACATCTACCTTGACTTCATGCATTAAAGTATCATTCATGAGGAAACCTTTTAATGAGTCCTTAAGATATCTCAGAAGCATGAAGTTTAAGCAACCCCAACTATCATCTGAGCTCAAAAAGCACTCAGCAGCTGCAGAAGAAGAACAAAAATAATTTTTCAGGAAATCTTTAGATAATAAAACAGACACCTTAGTAAAATTTCAAGAAAAAATCTTAACCCGTTTGAGAACGATGTCACAACTAAACAAGAGAATATATGGTATACCATTGCTGTCTGGCAGCAATAAAAGTTCTAAACTTATTAATCACTTCCTTTTTCAAGAGAGAAAAGTAATCAATTTCCCCAGTAAATCCCTCATCTTCAGTCTTTAACGTTGACAAACGCTCACTATCTCCAGAATTATTCTCATTTTCAAAAAAAAAAACACTTCTACTCCAAACACACAGACTAAATGGCCAATGTGCCGTTTAGGGAAAAAAAAAAAGGCGATTGAAGCCTGGCACCTAGGATGGGTGTTCTATCTCCCCAAACCCATAACCCTTAATTCTCTTAGCACAAATATGATAAGAAAAAAAAAAATTAGAGGGTTGGTGCTGCTTTTACAAATAGCTGACCTTGGTTGTCCGTTGGTATTTCCACATGGCTTCCGGATTCTTCCACTTCTCATTTGGCACCTGTCATCCTCTGCCTCTTTTCAGGGTGAAGAAAGGTATGCGTGTCTTGTGCATCTATGTAGACCGTTAGTGGGACCCACTCCCGAACAAGTTAGGACATTTCCGGTAAAATGACAGATTCTTAGACCCTAAACTTTCTAGGTCATTGGATTTAAACCCTTAAAAGCTTTTTAAAGGTAAAACATTTATGATCCTCTACTACTCGTGGAGCTTATATTTACCCCTTAAAAAATTA